AGGGGGGTCCAAGTTCGCCTCTCGGGTTCCCAAGCCTTGTGCGGAATCCGAGCTCCCTTCTCCGAGACTGAGATAACAGCACCCAGAGATCCGCCACCACCAACACCACTAACGCCACCACCATCAACAACAACAGCACCACCAGCATTACAATGACGCTTGTGCCATGCTAGGTCCACTTTGAGGCCACGTGAAGTGTCGAAGGCCCGCTTGCTGGAGGTCACGGAACAGACCGCAATTGCCACTGTGTGACTGAGATGGCTGGCAGATGCACCAACTGTGCTCCTCACCATGCCAACTTGCTGCGTTTTAGCCGCTTGGCGCTTAACAACACCACCACCACTACCACCACCACGCATCTATGACGGAGTCATGCAGTCTCTCCGTAGGACAACCGCCGTTTGGCTTACCACGAAGTAGTAATTATTGTATCGACCCTAGAGGTATGATGGGTTGAGTCGGCTCCTGACCAGGATTTGGAATTAGCGAAACTGCGCTTGCGATAATGCGATATTTGTGTCCACACACGCGCGTGCTCCTGCCAGCCATGTCATGCGGTACACAAGTCCGTTTATTTATTTACGACAATTCGACTTACGAACTTTCAGTGATACGAACAAACCTGTCCGTATGTGCAGTTGTCTGTTCGGACTGGGAGTCGTAAGTTCAACCGCCGCGCAATAGATGGTGGTGGTGACATCTACATATACAGATTATACAACTTTTAAAACCATTCCCTGTGTTTAGTGTAGATGCCGTACAACACGTTTGGAATCGACAGGAGTAAAGTTGGACTTACGAACAAATCGACTTACGAACAGACCTATGGAACCTAACTCGTTCGTAAGTAGAGGAGTTTCCTGTTATTATTTCCCCCCCCACTTAAATTCCAATCGTGTTGTCTAGAATGTTCATTACAAAGTCTAGGATAATAAAGGTGGTTGTTTGACCGTTGAGAAATTAACGTGGTTGTTTGTGGAGAACACGCGGGGTGGCGGGGGAGCCAGCGGCGGTGGGGGGGTTAAACACCTTCAAAGATCACACCAAAGCCGCTTGTGCTTTGTGTGCTCCCTTAGCATTGACATTTAAATCCGTCCAATGGAATACAATTGAGAAACTTTCCTTCGTTGGTTTACCTGCGGTTGCCTTCGAGACGCGTTTTCTTCACGAGCGGTGGGGGGTGGCGAAGTTGCGATGAAAGATTTAAAACGCAGTGCAGCAGCGCAGCCGTTCAAGTGTGCAGGCGGTGCAACTGCGCGAGAGTCCACGTGCTGGAGGGGGGGGGGGCCCAGCCGCCGGGTTACGAAGAGGTGGGGGGTAGGAGGGGGAGATCGGGGCATTTAATTGCTATGCCCATGCCAAGCACGTTCCGGTACTAATAGACGTAGCGTTTTGTTATTTTCGTGAGTTTATTTTGTTAAGAATGAGGCTCACTTAAGTGACTGGCACGCCGAGCTTGTTTTTATGCTGAACGTTAAATTTGAGTCCACGGTATCACAGCCGTCTTCTTTCTTTCTTCTTCTTCATCTCTAGAATTAAATAAATGATTGCTGTTTAAAACGTCGGCTTTCGCGACCAACATCATCTATAATATAGTATTTTTGGGTTAGATCGCGTAAATATAAATATGTCGTTAAGCCCGTCACCACCGACACAGCCAATTCGTAAAGTTTGTTACCTTAACAGAACATGGCAATTGGTTACTAGTACAGCACACCGGTGTGTTGGAGAGTAAATCCACATTGTGAATATTGTAAACATCGCAGTACGATTACAAATTGAAAGATCGTGGCAGATAGGGAGGCAAGAGGGGAGTAAGCGAAACAGCGAGGGAGAGAGGGGGGAATAAGTGAGACACGGAGGCAGGGAGACATGGGGAAGGAGACAGGGGAAGGAGACAGGGGGAGGGAGACAGGGGGAGGGAGATATGGGGGAGGGAGACAGGGGGAGGGAGATATGGGGGAGGGAGACAGGGGGAAGGAGACAGGGGGGAGGGAGATATGGGGGAGGGAGACAGGGGGAGGGAGATATGGGAGAGGGCGACAGGGGGAAGGAGACAGGGGGAGGGAGACATGGGGGAGGGAGACAGGGGGAGGGAGAGAGGGGGAGGGAGATATGGGGGAGGGAGACAGGGGGAGGGAGACATGGGGGAGGAAGTGGGCGATGGGAAGCTGCGTGGCCCCGTAAATCAGGGGCCTCTACGACACCACAACATCAGAGCGCGCAGCTGCCTGCGATGGCACAGGCGGCACCACGGGGGGGGCGGGGGGGGGGGCTGGAGTGGGGCGGAGTGGGGGGCTCAGGGCTGCGGAAAAGCAGCGCTATGCCCCCCTCGCCCCCCCCCCGAGACTCGGTGGGAGCGAACAACAAAATGTATCCCGCAATTAGGAATCTCATTGGAATTGGGGAGGGTGAAGCGAACTGGCTTACTTTACAGTGAGGGGAAAAAGTATTTGATCCCCTGCTGATTTTGTACGTTTGCCCACTGAAAAAGCAATGATCAGAGTATAATTTTAATGGTAGGTTTATTTGAACAGTGAGAGACAAAATAACAACAACAAAAATCCAGAAAAACGCATGTCAAAAATGTTATACATTTATTTGCATTTTAATGAGGGAAATAAGTATTTGACCCCCTCTCAATCAGAAAGATTTCTGGCTCCCAGGTGTCTTTTATACAGGTAACGAGCTGAGATTAGGAGCACACTCTTAAAGGGAGTGCTCCTAATCTCAGCTTGTTACCTGTATAAAAGACACCTGTCCACAGAAGTAATCAATCAGATTCCAAACTCTCCACCATGACCAAGACCAAAGAGCTCTCCAAGGATGTCAGGGACAAGATTGTAGACCTACACAAGGCTGGAATGGGCTACAAGACCATTGCCAAGCAGCTTGGTGAGAAGGTGACAACAGTTGGTGCGATTATTCGCAAATGGAAGAAATGCAAAAGAACTGTCAATCTCCCTCGGCCTGGGGCTCCATGCAAGATCTCACCTCATGGAGTTGCAATGATCATGAGAACGATGAGGAATCAGCCCAGAACTACACGGGAGGATCTTGTCAATGATCTCAAGGCAGCTGGGACCATAGTCACCAAGAAAACAATTGGTAACACACTACGCCGTGAAGGACTGAAATCCTGCAGCGCCCGCGAGGTTCCCCTGCTTAAGAAAGCACATATACATGCCCGTCTGAAGTTTGCCAATGAACATCTGAATGATTCAGGGGACAACTGGGTGAAAGTGTTGTGGTCAGATGAGACCAAAATGGAGCTCTTTGGCATCAACTCAACTCGCCGTGTTTGGAGGAGGAATGCTGCCTATAACCCCAAGAACACCATCCCCACCGTCAAACATGGAGGTGGAAACATTATGCTTTGGGGGTGTTTTCTGCTAAGGGGACAGGACAACTTCACCGCATCAAAGGGACAATGGACGGGGCCATGTACCGTCAAATCTTGGGTGAAAACCTCCTTCCCTCAGCCAGGGCATTGAAAATGGGTCGTGGATGGGTATTCCAGCATGACAATGACCCAAAACACACGGCCAAGGCAACAAAGGAGTGGCTCAAGAAGAAGCACATTAAGGTCCTGGAGTGGCCTAGCCAGTCTCCAGACCTTAATCCCATAGAAAATCTGTGGAGGGAGCTGAAGGTTCGAGTTGCCAAACGTCAGCCGAGAAACCTTAATGACTTGGAGAAGATCTGCAAAGAGGAGTGGGACAAAATCCCTCCTGAGGTGTGTTCAAGCCTGGTGGCCAACTACAAGAAAAGTCTGACCTCTGTGATTGCCAACAAGGGTTTTGCCACCAAGTACTAAGTCATGTTTTGCAGAGGGGTCAAAAACTTATTTCCCTCATTAAAATGCAAATCAATTTATAACATTTTTGACATGCGTTTTTCTGGATTTTGTTGTTGTTATTCTGTCTCTCACTGTTCAAATAAACCTACCATTAAAATTATAGACTGATCATTTCTTCGTCAGTGGGCAAACGTACAAAATCAGGAGGGGATCAAATACTTTTTTTTTCCCCTCACTGTAGCTGAGCTACATCGGAAGCGAGTGAGCCCGACTCGACTGATGAGACACTGAACGTGGAAACCGGCCCAGCGTTTTGCTCGTGTTCGGTGCAGTCCGTAGCGGTGGGGAGGGGAGGTGGGGAGGGGGGGGGGGGCAAACCACACCGTGTGGTCCCCTCCCGAAGCCTTCAAACTAATCAAGAAGGACGACATCTGACACCGTGACGTCGAAGCGCTGCCCGCCGCACCCCCCTCTTCTCCAACCCGAGGGGCCCCGGGCGGGCGGTCGCCCCAATTGACCGTACCCTATGGACGGACCTCTGCTTGTGATGAATCAAATCCGCACCTGCCAGAAGTCCACGTTAACAGTGGGATGGGTAAGTGGGGGGAGGTTTTTTTATGGGGGGGAGGAGGCAGAAATGTGAAGGAGGCGAATTGGTCTGCCAAGTAATTGAATTGTCTAGGTGGCTACAAGACAAGAGGTTTGTGAAAAAAATAAAAAATGTGTCTTGTTTTAGGTTTTTTTTTTCTGGAATGCACGGTTGATTATATATTTTCAACGCCAGATGCGCGCAACGTGCAGCAGCGCCTTCTTCAGCTCGTCTGCTGCGATCGAGAGGTGGCGGGGGAAAAAACAAGAAAACACCCCCACCACATTTGGTACAAAAACCGCGACAAAGTGGCAGTGGTGGTGGATCTCTGTTGGCGAAGGTGGGTGAGGGGGGGGGTGAAGGGGGTGGAGGGGGTCGTGAGCGCGACGGTTGTGAACCCCTACATCCTTCCCCCGCGTCCCCCCTCCGCCTCCACCTTAGCCCATTAGCGATCGCGTTAATGAAGTAGCGCGGAGGAACGACACGGAGAGCCCGGCTACTCCGCGCGCTCTCTCCCCGACCATCTGGACGTGGGCCGCGGAGCGCGCGTCGCTGGGACTCGGGAGAGACGCTCGCAGCTACAACACCACCACCACCAGCACCACAACCACCACCAGCAGCACCACCACCAGCACCACAACCACCACCAGCAGCAGCACCACCACCAGCACCACCACCACCAGCAGCAGCACCACCACCACCAGCAGCACCACCACCAGCAGCACCACCACCACCAGCAGCAGCACCACCACCACCAGCACCACCAGCACCACAACCACCAGCAGCAGCACCACCACCACCAGCACCACCACCACCAGCACCACCACCACCACCAGCAGCACCACCACCAGCAGCACCACCACCACCACCACCAGCAGCAGCACCACCACCAGCAGCACCACCACCACAACCACCACCAGTAGCAGCACCACCACCACCACCACCACAACCACCAGCATCACAACCACCACCAGCAGCACCACCAGCAACAGCACCACCACCTGCACCACAACCACCACCAGCACCACAACCACCACCAGCAGCACCACCACCAGCAGTACCACCACCACCAGCAGCACCACCACCACCAGCAGCACCACCAGTACCACAACCACCAGCAGCAGCACCACAACCACCACCAGCAGCACCACCACCAGCACCAGCGGCACCACCAGCACCAAAACCACCACCAGCAGCACCACCACCAGCAGCACCACTACCAGCACCACAACCACCACCAGCAGCACCAGCACCACCACCAGCAGCAGCACCACCAGCATCACCACCAGCACAACCACCACCAGCAGCAGCACCACCAGCATCACCAGCACCACCACCAGCACCACCAGCACCACAACCACCAGCACCACAACCACCACCACCAGCAGCACCACCACCACCAGCAGCACCACCAGTACCACAACCACCACCAGCAGCACCACTACCAGCACCACCAGCACCACAACCACCAGCATCACCACCACCAGCACAACCACCACCAACACCACCACCAGTAGCAGCACCACCAGCATCACCAGCACCACCACCAGCACCACCAGCACCACAACCACCAGCACCACCACCAGCATCACCAGCACCACCACCAGCACCACCAGCACCACAACCACCAGCACCACCACCACCAGCACCACCAGCACCACAACCACCAGCACCACCACCAGTATCAGCAAGCAAGCACGACGCACGGGCTTTCTGCATTTGTAACACTGCCAAAGCTGTCTTAGAAAAGCACGGGATTATCGGCGTAAGGCACTTCCACTAGAGTACAAGGAAAGCCTGTCAATAATAACAATGCTATTTAATGTTTGTACACGTTGCGTTGCTCCTATATCATCTCTCTATAGAAGGCAAGATTAATGTGGTGGATTGAAGTGATTCCCGACGCAGCGTACGCGTATACATGTTTCGGCCATCATGAATAAAATAAGCACCGATTATGTATACGGTGTATACACACCAAGGCCGTAGCCATGGAGTCAACATTGGGGGGAACCAAATCTTCCAGGGTGTCTGGGGGTCCCAACTCAGAAAAATATCTAAATTTGATAAGTAATTTCCTGCCTAAAATATTAAAACATTCACTAACACATGGGATGGCCTTTTTTTTACAATAATGTCTAATAGTGTACTGTATTACATTGCTCTGTTTTACTTTTTTTTTACCATTTCTTGTTTCATTGTATGTAATGGCAGAGATTAGGGATTAATAAAGTACATCCATAGCCATAATCATATAAACAGAAATCTATGCGTTGATTTATCTGAAGACAAGTCCAGATATTGTGGCCAAGGATAAGTAAATTCATCTTCTCTGGTTCTTTCGGTAAAGTCACGTAGAATGAGAATAAAATAATAAAATAAATGAGAATTTTATTTCATTTTTTTTATTCTCATTCTACGTGACTTTACCGCAAGAACCAGAGAAGATGAATCCTTGCAGTCACGAAAGCTTTAAATCGAGATAAACAAATTGTTATTTTTATTTACATAGCATAGCAATTATTTTTATAGCAATATATGGGGGGGGGGACATTTTGAGCATATTTGAATATTGGGGGGGGGATGTGTCCCCCCCCCCCCCCAATATATTATAATTACGGCCTTGATACATACCGTATACAGTACATACCAACGCCGCGTGTGTTTTTGAGTAACGTGCGCAACTGCGATGTGTTGAGCGGTGGCGCAGTGATTAGCACACCGCGGCTTGGACCAGAGTGGCGGTTTGAATTTGATTCCAGGTCTCACGGCACGGCTAACATCAGTGGCGAGTGGCATCTGAGCGGACTCTGGCCCGCTCCTTGACACCGTGTGTACCTATGCAGGTGCAATCACACCGCTTCTGGCTGTCGCCTGATGAGGCTGGTTGTGATTGCGGGCGAAACGTCGTACTCGAATTGTGAATGATGCGGCTTTACCCTCCAACACACGGGTTTGCTGAACTAGTGACTAATCAGCACGTTTCCTTTTACGCGACGATCCTCACAAATTGGCTGTGTCGGGTGGTGGCGGGTTTAACCACCACGCATTTCTATTAACGCGATCTAACACCAGCCCTGCCGCCCCCCCCCCCCAAAAAAAAAAAAACACAACCTCTTGTCGACAATATCGGTCGCCAAAGCCCTGCGTACGTGTTTAAAGAGGTGTGGGTCGCAGCACGTGGTGCGTGCGTGTGCGCGTGGTACGTGCGGGTGCGCGTGGTGCGTGCACGTGCGCGTGGTACGTGCGCGTGGTGCGTGGTGCGTCAGCGCAGACGGTACGCCGACCGGTTGCCGAAGCTGCTGCCAAACCTCGCCACCGACGTGAGACGTGGAAGTACAATATAAAAAAACCCAACAAAGCACCCCGCCCCCCACGAATTAATTCAACCGCAAATTTCGTTTAATTTACAAATCTAATTTAATCCGGTGTCACGCGAGTTCGCTAATTCGGAACAATCGAGTTACATAAGCTTCGTCGGTAATTAATTTGGACATCTTTCCTCCCATTCCCTCCCTCGGCCCGCTACGCACATCCTCCCCCACCCACCCACCCTGGCACTCACAGCACCCCCCCCACCACCACCAATACCGCCCCCCAATGCCTCTCCCCTCCAATAGCGCCCCCCCGACCCCCCCCCCCCCCCCCAACACCGAAACGCGCCCCCAAAGCCTCCCCCAAATACCGACCCCCCAAAACCCCCCCTAAATACGCCTTCCCCAATACCCCCCTAAATACGCCTTCCCCAATACCCCCCCTAAATACGCCTTCCCCAATACCCCCCCTAAATACGCCTTCCCCAATACCCTCCCATGCCTCCCCCTCAATACCTCCCACCGCCCCCCCCCCCCCAATACCGCACCGCTCCCCTCCCCGCCACACACAACAACAACAACAACAAATCTAAACAATGAAGACGACGCCAGCAACGTGAATCAAAACCCAGCGAGAGGGCGGCGGCGGCGGTGGCTTTGGTGGTGGTGGTGGGGGGGTGCTGAAGTGGAGGAAAGTTTCCCGACCACGACAGCATCGGCAATCAATTTATGAATCATGAAATGCGAGCAGGCGCATGGCGCGGCTGCGTGTGTTGTACAAAGTCCCGGCAATAATCGGCCGTGATGACACGGGACGGCGCCAATGAACTCTCGCTAATTGCCACACACACGGAGAGCGGACCACACACGGGCGAGTTCCCATACTCCGGTACTCGTGACCGCACCGCCTCCACGCGAGGCTACGTCGTTCCGCGTTTACCAATTGACTCCCCCACCCCCCCCCCCCCCATTCAAATAAAAACGAACACGTTCCAAGCCGTTGTACGCGCCCGATGATTATTAAACACGACCCACGTGGCGCGCTAAGACATTAACGCTGCGTTAATAAAGCCGATGCACATGCTAATATTGGTATTTCTGTGCGCGCGCGCACGAGATCCACGCGACGCGGACAGCGTTCAAATGACAACAGAAACATTCGACCAAAGCTCACAAGGTGTGCAAAGAGGCACGGATTTGGGGGGCCACACTTTGGTTGGAATTGCGCTGAGAGGACAGCGAGAGGACCACGTGGTCTCGAGCTGTGGTTCTCCAGCTTTCGTTTGGCTACTGCCGTCAGCACCTTGTTAAATTGAATTTCAACCGAGTTACCCACCCACCCTTGCCTTACCCACCTTGGTTCTGAGTGTGTAAATGTATGGATAATGAACATCAATGTTTGAACCAGTTGTCCATTCTGTGAGGTACATCATAACTTAGCCGGTAACTGCAAGCGAATGAAAACAAAATGCATTCAACGGACGTCACGTGGTTTGTTCACGTTGGCTGTTGCTCTTGGAAACCAACACTGTTGACCATCAGTGAGTTTAGAAGGGGCATTCATATCGTCCTGGGTTCACCATATCGAGTTCCATTTCATCGTGGTTATTTTTACATTGGCAGATTCATCCCACTTCATTTAAAAACATTTCTCTTGCTGTGGTTTTTCCACCTGATGATGGTTGCTTGTGTTGCAATCGAAACGTCGTGATTCAATTGATTTTCTACCTACGTGACTTTACCGAAAGAACCAAAGAGTACAGATTCATACGTGATCATTCACCGACGACTCTCACGCATGAGATACTTTCACACGTTTATAAATCACCTCCACGAACCCATCCTGGGACATTGCCACGCACCCCTGAGGTTATCGCCGCTGACTCCTCCAGGCGGTACGTGGTTCGGTAAAAAAAAAAGGTCGTTAATTATTAGGTCCTTATACGGCTCACAGTGAGAACCCGTATGGGATCCCTGCTTCCTTCCGCTCAAAATGAGCCCGTGGCTGGCTCGCTCGACTCAGTACGTCCCAAACAAAACGAAACAAGGTATCGGAGTCATCGCCACTGCTGACAGACGGACGACAGCCGCGCGGAATCCACAGACCGACCGGCGGCATTGCTCGTACAACGCAGGCCCCCATCTGGGTTCCGTGGGCCAACGTCTCTTCACTGCTGACAGCGGCGAGCTGATGTCCGGTGGTGCCATTGGTGGGTGGCGCGAGGTGGGCCGGGGGATGGGGGGGGGTCTGGAGGTGGGGGGGAGAGGGGGGATAGGTGGCCTGGCACGGGTAGAGATGGAGAGGTATTTTTTTAATGTAGGTGGTGTTAGTGGGTGGGTGTGCGGGCCTTTTCAAGTGCCACTCGCTAACAGCACTTGCCCCCAGCAGTACGTTAAGGCTATACGGCGGGGGGGGGGGGGTGTCTTTGTCTTCGTGTGGGTGAGGAGCGGTAGTGCAATGGTTAGCGCGCTGCGCTACGGACACGGCTAACCCGGGTTCGATTCCCAATGACGGCTAGATTCTGGGCCTCAACCTTAAATGAGTACCTGGTGCTGTGTAGTAAACATCGCCGCTCGGGAGACAAAGGCGGCCGGGCGTGGTACTGGCCACCCACCCCCTCGTGTGCCTTCATTAGGTGCTGCTCGCTAGCAGCACTTGCCCCCAACCGCCCGTTGAGGCCATACGGGGGACTTTTGTCTTTGCATACATGGGTGGGTGGCACGGAGGGGAGGGAAGGAGGTGCTTTGAGGGGCAACTTCTGTGGGTGGGTGGTATCGATAGAGACGCGTGGGTGGGTGGGTGAGGTGAAGCAGGGTGGTCGAGAACAGCAGGCGAGCTGATAAGGGTGGTAGTGGTGGTGGCGGTGAGGATGTTGGTTGATAGGGAGGGGGGGGACCACACGAACCCCCCCCGTCTCCGCGGGGTGTTATCAGCAGGACGCCTATCAGGCGCACGTGCCCATTACCTCGGGTGGCAGCTGACGAGGCCCAGGAGACACGCGGCCCAAGAGCCCCGAAGCCCGCGAGGCCCCCGTGGCTCGCGTGGCCCATTAGGAGATGGCAGCACAGGCAGTGGATATTCTTGAATCTACCTGTATGGGGTTTCCAGTGCCTAGCCCCGCGCTTGCGATGATTGCAACGTTGGAGTCGCCCTTGCCCTCTACCCAGAATGCTCTGTGCTTGGACATAACAAACAAGACCAGAACGAAGATAGCAGAACAACAGATTCGTCGAAAACGATGCCTGCGACGTTTCGGGCAGATGCCCTCTTTCAATGTAGGCGGGGCGGGCAGCTGCCCATCTCTTCCACCGCCAACGCCGATGAGAACCCCCACCACACGTGACCCCCCTGCCCCCCCCCCCCCGTGCCCTACGGCGCTCGGTGTGAGATCGGAGGTCGCGTCTTTAGCGACCCCCGTCTCGCGGCCGACCGGCACAGGGACGCCTCTATTTTTAACGCCGTCGCCGCCACAGTTGGAAGCAATCGCCAAGTGGCTCTAAAAATAGCAGCCTAATTAGCGGGGGAGGGAGGTAATGAACATTTTAACTCATTAGTGGTCGCCCGTGACGATTCGTCCGTTTGAGCGCCGCTCCCTGCTTCATGTTCCCTGCTTCATGCTCCATACTCCCTGCTACATGCTTCCTGCTTCCTGTTCCCTGCTTCATGCTCCCTGCTTCCTGCTTCATGCTCCATACTCCCTGCTACATGCTTCCCGCTTCCTGTTCCCTGCTTCCTGTTCCATGCTTCATGCTCCCTGCTTAAAACTCCTTGCTTCCTGTTCCCTGCTTCCTGTTCCCTGCTTCATGCTCCATACTCCCTGCTTCATGCTCCCTGCTTCATGCTCCCTGCTTCCTGTTCCCTGCTTCATGCTCCCTGCTTCATGCTCCCTGCTTCATGCTCCATACTCCCTGCTTCATGCTCCCTGCTTCATGCTCCCTGCTTCCTGTTCCCTGCTTCATGCTCCATACTCTCTGCAGCAAGCTTCCTGCTTCATGCTCCCTGTTCCATGCTCCGTGTGTCAGTCTGTGGATCTCTATTTAAGTTTATGGGCCCCCATGTAAGTCCATGAATCACGACGCAAACCCACACATTAGTGAACCAGTATGAAGTCTGAACATTCCCCAGAGGCATTGAAGATTTACATCCAACACGCATCAATCCATCCGAAGCCATATCGTGGCCAAAAGTAATCTGGACGTAGGCCTTTATATAGATTATTATATTTTGTTTTAAGGCAGGTCTTCCGAGTAGAAGCGGAGGCTTGGCAGTCTAATTGGGATCTCACCGGATTGAAATCAAGAATTTGGATCACACCGAGTGGCCGAATGAGACCGCCCCCATCATGGTGGTACCACGGTGGCTTGGAGATGTTAACTACCTCGCCTGGTATACGGGAGGTCGTGGGTTCGATCCCGACCCTGACGCCTGCTGCTGTATATTTGGAGTTTCCGTGACTCTCTCTCTCATCATCATCACGGTGGCTAGGAGATGTTAACTACTTTGCCTGTTATACAGGAAGTCGTGGGTTCGATCCCGACCCTGACGCCTGCTGCTGTATATTTGGAGTTTCCGTGACTCTCTCTCTCTCATCATCATCACGGTGGCTAGGAGATGTTAACTACTTTGCCTGGTATACAGGAAGTCGTGGGTTCGATCCCGACCCTGACGCCTGCTGCTGTATATTTGGAGTTTCCGTGACTCTCTCTCTCTCATCATCATCACGGTGGCTAGGAGATGTTAACTACTTTGCCTGGTATACAGGAAGTCGTGGGTTCGATCCCGACCCTGACGCCTGCTGCTGTATATTTGGAGTTTCCGTGTCTCTCTCTTATCATCATCACTGTGGCTAGGAGATGTTAACCACCTCGCCTGGTATACAGGAGGTCGTGGGTTCGATCCCGACCCTGACGCATGCTGTTTGCATCTCTCTCTCTCTCCCCGTGGTCGCGCGGATTTTCCTCCGGGTCCTCGGGGTTCCCCTCCACATTTAGCAACACGCGTTGAGAGTATTTTCTGCTGCTATACATTCCCACGTGATGATAAGCCACCTCGCTGAGCCATCATTTGTGGCCAGATCGCTTCTGAAACAGAGCTGTGTAGCTCAGCGGAGCCTTACCTGTTAAAATAAAAAATGGTTGAGTTTATAGTTTGAATAGTTGTGCTCGAGCAATACTTGTGAAGGCCGACACGGCACACGAGGGGGGGTGGGTGGCCAGCACCACGCCCGGCCACCTTTGTCTCCCCAGTACTGATGACAACACACGCACACGCACATATGCCGTATATGCACACAGCTATATATACAAACGCAAAAGACAAATACCCCCCCCACCCCCTTTCCGCATAGCCTGAACAGACTGTTCGGGCAAGTGCTGCTAGCCGGCACCTATGAAGGGTCGGAACGGCACACGAGGGGGTTGGTGGTCAGCAACCACGCACGGACGGTCCGCCTTTGTCTCCGTGGCGGCGATGTTTACACACCACCGCCCCGGGCACAGAGAGCGTTAACGCGACACTGAGTCGACCTAGGGGAGGCCCAGGACTGGTTTAGATAATCGACACCGCTGGCCGCAAGCGCACGGGGTCCGGTGCGCTGTGGGTCGTAAGAAAAACGGTGGCATCGTTTGCATTCATTTAAATAAGAACTTGACGGTGAGGTTGATGCACTCCACAATGCGTCGTTGTTTAGCCTTCATCCGTCAGTGTCGTCACTGACGTTGATGATCATTGTCATTGTGATCATCGTGAATATCAACACAGGGTGCTTCCACAAAATGTTAACACTTACATGGGACTGATCGTTTTTAACGGGGAAAAATAACCGGAGAGTACCCTGTAATATGATAACAAATGCAATGTCAGTAGCTTAACTAAAAGTCAAAGATTCTCCACTTGTTCGCCATCATTGTCAACACGTGGCCTGGGATCTTCTCCACGTGTTCTCCAGAACCCGGAGGCGGCAGCACATTTCTCGTGTTAACATGTTTTTAAAGCACCCTGTACATTATAATCATCGTTCATAACATCATCACGATCATCGCCCTCACCAATAACACGAATCATCACGATCATCGCCGTCGTCACCACCATCATTACCATCTGCCCAGCAAAGCCTCACTCGGACTTCAAGACTCTTGACAGGAAGATCAGTCGTGAAAAAGAGCTTTATAGCTCATCGGGTTCCTCGCGTATCAAGTTTCAGATTCTGCCCCGCTTTGCAACGTTTGGCCAATGTGTTGTCTTTGTGTTTCGGATGACATCCTGACATCAAGCGCAAAACCCCCGCTCGTACACGCGGAATCTCGCCCACAGCGCTATTGCTCCATCCCTGTGCGATCCGTCAACCCCTCGTCTGAGGCATCGGAGCACACAGCCGTGCGAACTCTCGCTCCCGTGTGGTTAGAGCGCAAATCTCGCGAGACGCGGCACCGCGGTTCCCGCAAGGAGAATCTCGCCCAGTAGCCGCGGTTTAAACGCGGCGAGACCTACCCCTCGTGAAGGCGCACGGGCGGCAAAGCAGACCGCTTCGGGTCACACTGTTTCACACCACGTCACCCCACACCACAGTACACCACACCACGTCACCCCACACCACAGTACACCACACCACGTCACCCCACACCACACCACGTCACCCTACACCACGTCACGTCACCCCACACCACCCTACACCACGCCACGTCACCCTACACCACGTCACCCCACACCACCCTACACCACTCCACGTCACCCCACACCACGTCACCCTACACTACACCACGTCACCCCACACCACGCCACACCACACCACACCACGTCACCCCACACCACCCTACACCACGTCACCCCACACCACCCTACACCACACCACGTCACCCCACGCCACACCACGCATGCCACGTGGCAGGCGGCCACGTGGCAGGCGGCCACGTTCACCATCCACTGCGTCTCGCCGCTCTCCCGGCTGGGCAACCGTGCCGAAGGCGGTCTCGAGTTGTTGTTGTTATTGTTCCGATCAGCGAGAGACGTCACGACGTTACATCTCCCTTGTTGTTGTTGTTCCGATCAGCGAGAGACGTCACGACGTTACATCTCCCTTGTTGTTGTTGTTGTTATTGTTCCGATCAGCGAGAGACGTCACGACGTTACATCTCCCTTGTTGTTGTTGTTCCGATCAGCGAGAGACGTCACGACGTTACATCTCCCTTGTTGTTGTTGTTCCGATCAGCGAGAGACGTCACGACGTTACATCTCCCTTGTTGTTGTTGTTGTTATTGTTCCGATCAGCGAGAGACGTCACGACGTTACATCTCCCTTGTTGTTGTTGTTGTTGTTGTTGTTCCGATCAGCGAGAGACGTCACGACGTTACATCTCCCTTGTTGTTGTTGTTGTTATTGTTCCGATCAGCGAGAGACGTCACGACGTTACATCTCCCTTGTTGTTGTTGTTCCGATCAGCGAGAGACGTCACGACGTTACATCTCCCTTGTTGTTGTTGTTGTTCCGATCAGCGAGAGACGTCACGACGTTACATCTCCCTTGTTGTTGTTGTTGTTCCGATCAGCGAGAGACGAAACGACGTTACATCTCCCTTGTTCTTGTTGTTGTTCCGATCAGCGAGAGAGGTCACGACGTTACATCTCCCTTGTTGTTGTTGTTGTTACTTTGTCACTTCGCTGCACCCCCAGTATCCCCCCGTGTCCCTCTGGGAGATGTGAACTCTGATGGGAGGTCACGATTCTGCGCACGCCCTGCGATCCGCGTGCACACGAGCGGAGCGGTGGCGCAGCGGTGAGCGCACCCCGCGTCCTTGAACCCAATGGCACGAGGTCCGCTTCTCGGCCGCAGTGTTTCATTGCGATCCGTCAAGGTGGTTCACTCGCTCCACGCATTGTTTATCGAACAAAGGGGACTTCTGGGTCTGCGTTGGCCCCGCTGTGCTGTTGCACAGCAGCAGTGCGACCCACGTGTCGCAGAGAAGAGACCCGCGGAAGCGGATATCACAGAGCTATATCATGGGATATTGTTTTTTGGCGTTCTGTGGTCTGACACTGGTGAGACTAGGCCATAGTGTACGCCAATCACTTTCAAAGATAATGCGTATATTATCAGAGCATGTTATTGTTTGTGTGTTCACCACTCGTGCGTGTGGTTAATGCAGACGTTGAACATCTTAACGCCTATTTAAAGCTCTAGTGACTGCAGGGATTCATATTCTTGGTTCTTTCGGTAGAGTCACGTAGATGGGAAATAATAAAATAATACAAATAAAACAATAAAATTCTCACGACGTTTCGACTGCAACACAACAATCATCATCAGGTGTGAAAACCACAGCAAGACATTTTTTGCCACTTCTGCTGTGGTTTTCACACCCGATGATGATTGCTTGTGTTGCAATCGAAACGTCGTGCGAATTGTATTCTTTTATTCGTATTATTGTATTATTTCCCTTCTACGTGACTTTACCGAAAGAACCAAGAGCATCTTAACACCTGTTGCACTGCCAGAAAAAGGGTAACGCCAATTCTTATTTGTCATCGCAGAACTACAGCTCTTCGATTGCTTCAAGTGACGGACTGCAGTTCACAGCCTCACGGGCAGCACTGTTGCCACCCGCCCAGCGGCGAACTGGAGGCACGCTCGTTGCGTGACAGTCAACCGAGCCATATGTGCCTGTGCGCAGCGACATTTATTGGACGCTTTTGTTTCTGCGGCACTTGGCGACCCGGGCCTGGGAGCCGTGAACTCACGAGACGCGAGAAACCCCCCCCCACCACCACCCCCCACGGTTCAACCAACAGGCAGCGGCTCACACCGAGATTAAAACCCCAGGTGTTCGCCGATGCCAGCTCTTCGACCCGCAGGCCCTCGCTTAGCCACTCGTCCGCCGTGATAATCGATTCTAATCGATGCGGCCAGATGTCATCGATGGTCAACCGGCAACGGCGCCAAAGCCCGTCGTTGAGTGGCGTCAGCACCTCCGGTTAGCAAGGGTTGGCTACGTGCGTTGCGAGAGAAGTTCAACATACACACACACACGGCAAACACCGCCGCTCGGCTCGGCGAGACTCGTGCTCTTCACGCTACGGTTGGTGAGATGTTAACTCCCTCGCCTGGTATACAGAACATCGTGGGTTTGATATATATATATATTTGAAGTTTGGATCTCTCTCCCCGTGGCCGAGTGGAATTTTTTTTATGGTTTCCGCCCTCACCCTCCACATTTCTCATCGACGTGCGTTCACAGTATTTGGCTACTTCTATAAATTCCCACGTGACGACGAGCCACTTCCGTTGAGCTATCGTTTGTGGGCCAAGTCGCTTCTGAAAGAAAATATCTGCATCGCTCAGTGGGCCCTTACATGGTGAAATAAAAATCTGAATAATATTTTAACAGTTTTGTTCATTTCCCTCCCAGCGCAATGTTTCGCTCAGACGTCCGTGACGAAAGCGTGAGCCAAATGAAAATCCAAGCCCGTGTCACGTCCCCCCGCCCCCCTCCACTGCCCCCCTCGCCTCGTCCTTTTCACGTCGCCCCCCCCCAGCCACCACTGCCTCCCCCACGCTCTCTCTCGCTCACCTCTCCCCTCGTGCTATGAACATCACCACGTGCTATGAACATCCCCTCGTGCTATGAACATCCCCTCGTGCTATGAACATCACCGCGTGCTATGAACATCACCACGTGCTATGAACATCACCACGTGCTATGAACGTCACCACGTGCTATGAACATCACCACGTGCTATGAACGTCACCACGTGCTATGAACATCACCGCGTGCTATGAACGTCACCACGTGCTATGAACGTCACCACGTGCTATGAACATCACCACGTGCTATGAACGTCACCACGTGCTATGAACATCACCACGTGCTATGAACGTCACCACGTGCTATGAACATCACCACGTGCTATGAACGTCACCACGTGCTATGAACATCACCACGTGCTATGAACGTCACCACGTGCTATGAACGTCACCACGTGTTATGAACATCACCACGTGCTATGAACATCACCACGTGCTATGAACGTCACCGCGTGCTATGAACGTCACCACGTGCTATGAACGTCACCACGTGCTATGAACGTCACCACGTGCTATGAACGTCACCACGTGCTATGAACGTCACCACGTGTTATGAACATCACCACGTGCGCTCCCCGTCGTGTTGATGCGTTGTCACCTTTCTGTTCGGTCACGGCCCGTGCCGCTCGCGGCCTTGTTAGACACGCCGCTGCCTTGTTGTGCTGCATTGTTGTGCTGCATTGTGATGCATTGTTGTGATGTATTGATGTGCTGCCTTGTTGTAATGCATTGTTGTGATGTATTGTTGTGATGCATTCTTGTGCTGCCTTGTTGTGATGCATTGTTGTGATGCATTGTTGTGATGTATTGTTGTGCTGCCTTGTTGTGATGCATTGTTGTGATGCATTGTTGTGATGCATTGTTGTGCTGCATTGTTGTGATGTATTGTTGTGATACATTGTTGTGATGCATTGGTGTGATGCATTGTTGTGATGTATTGTTGTGCTGCCTTGTTGTGCTGCATTGTTGTGCTGTCTTGTTGTGATGCATTGTTGTGATGCATCGTTGTGATGCATTGTTGTGATGCATTGTTGTGCTGCCTTGTACTGCCTTATTGTGCTGCCTTGATGTGCTGCATTGTTGTGATGTATTGTTGTGCTGCCTTGTTGTGATGGATTGTTGTGCTGCATTGTTGTGCTGCCTTGTTGTCATGCATTGTTGTGCTGCCTTGTTGTGCTGCCTTGTTGTGCTGCATTGTTGTGCTGCATTGTTGTGCTGCCTTGTTGTGCTGTATTGTTGTGCTGCCTTATTGTGCTGTATTGTTGTGATGTATTGTTGTGCTGCCTTGTTGTGATGTATTGTTGTGCTGCCTTGTTGTGATGTATTGTTGTGCTGCCTTGTTGTGCTTCCTTGTTGTGGCTGCGCCGTTGCCGTGATCAATCCACTGCTGGATGAGGCGCTTCTCAACGCGATCCATCCGCCTCCCGATTTCATTCTCTCCCTCTTCGCGGTGGCGGATGTCGTCCTCTCTGTGGCTGCCACTCCGTCGCGACGGCTCCACCACCGCCTCGTCTCCCTCCCCCTTCTTCTCGCGACGTCTCCCACCCCGAACACTACTCCCCCCCACCTCCTCCTCCTCGCTCGGTTTTCCTTTCTTCGGGTCAGCGACGACGTCTTCAACGTGCGAAAGTTCACCGATCGATCAATCGACGACGACGACGATGATGATGATGATGCGTTACCCCGTTTATCTTCCGTCCGAGTAATTCCACGTGCGCGCTCGCGCGACTCTCCCCGCTCGATCGCGTTTCATGCAGCGGCTCAGCGACAGCCTTCGCGCGGAACTCCACACAGTCGGGCGAGAAGCCAATGACGAATGCCCATTAACTGGGCGACTGGACATTGATCTCCCGGCCTCGGGAGCAGCAGCAGTGGCAACAACAACA